TGGTTAAAATAGTTGTGTGAACCCCAATCGTCAATTATTGTTTCTAAAGGTAACAATACACAGTTAGGAGTGTAGTTTTGCCTTTTTGCCCCGGTGAATTTTTCAAATAAGAAAGATATTATGCATTGAAAGAAATTTTTTATATAGTCGAAGAATAATATAGCCTTCAAAACGGATTTATGTGAACATCAAGATTGTATTATGCATGTTATAAAGGTCTTTTTTTAGTCAGATTTCACATCCGTACCGGCCATACATTCAGAAAAAGATTGAAATATGTTCATGCGGTTTTTTTTGCATGAACTTCTCGATGCATTGTATGGAAAAATTAGGTAAAATGCACATAATTTTTAGTTTTATTTCTTGATAGATACATATCAATGGTTTCAGAAAAGATTACTCGAAAGTTGAAATTCTACTTTATAAAAGAGAGGCGAAGGATATAAAAGGGACATTCAAACTCACAAGTTGAAAATAAACTGTCAACGCCATGACTTAAAAAGAAAAAGACAAAGAGACAAACACAATACATAAAACACAACATAAAAACCAAAGACTGAGCAACACGAACCCCACCAAAAACTGGGGGTGATTTCAGGTGCTCCGGAAAGGTAAGCAGATCCTGTTCCACATGTGGCATCCGTCGTGTTGTTCATGTTAGTACAAACTCAGTGATAAGTCTGATTCGGTAGGTCATATTCGGGAAAAATGGGACGGGATTGTAGCTACGACAATTGGAACATATTCTTTGTAATCTGTGAAACGGATATTCCATAACGGTCAACCAACTCGTGATGGCGTCCGTAAAATTAACAAGGGGACGATTTCAACTTTACCGCTTGGAACTCTTGGTTTAATAACTTCCTTGTGAGTAGGAACACTCTTTTAGGAAATCTTGGTAGGAAATACAAGCTCTGGAATATCGTATCAACTGTGAGATATATGCTCCGTATGCAGGTGCTGCTGGAATGTTGGTACGTTAAATGGAAAGTTCACAATTGGGAAGCTGAAATCATCTCTTTTGTCGTAAACTTTTGTTTTCAATAGACCATCTTTGTCAATTTCTAGATGTAATTCAAGATATGAGGCAAACTTTATTGTATCTGTTGTATCTGTTATCTCAAGTTCGGTGGGATAGATGCGTTCAACATAGTCACCAAATTTTGAAATATGTACTTTATAAAAAGTTTTGTTTGGGAACACATGTCACATTATCATGTCCTTTTTTGCAATATTTTGTTTAAAAAAAATACAGATTAATGCCATGGTTGTACCAAAAAGAGATTATATTGCACAATTTTAACAACTGAAATTCAAATCAATGATATATGCTGTTCCCCTATACAAACATGACACAAATAGAGAGCTTAATTTGTTTGAAAGCAAAAGAAAAGGGTGTTAATTTTAAGTTTTGTTTCTTGATGTATATTGCTACCTTACTAAACGCGAACCATCACGTTGGTCGCAATTCCATTTAATGTTATACCTTCTCAGTTAGGAGCGTTGCATTAAGTAGTATAGGATCAGACTGATCGACTCTGAGTCACAATACTGTGAAGGGTAGGGTGACGTTGCCTTCCTCTTCATTTTTACAGTGTGAATTCTCATATCACATTGACACGTTCTGCATTGTTTTTGTTTGATTAGTGTATTGTTTTTCATAACTCTTTTTTAAATTTGGCTTTTCTCTAATGATACTGATTGAATGGAAATCCAATTTTGACATGATAGGGCAATATTAATTCAGAGAAAAAACAAGAAATTGGTCCGTTTGAAATTTATTCCGGATTGAAAACATGCAAATTGATACGGATACAAAACGTGTTAGTGACACTTACTGATGAATCCAGGCTGACAGAACAGGTTTTTGAAATGATCCCTCGTGGTACAATTAATTTTATTTTGCAAACTAATTGATAAGTACCGATTGTTATTGTTAAATAGCAGCTGCGAGTCAGTGCATCGAACGGGTTCAAAAAGGCTTCATATTGTGGTGAGTAACTGATATTTTACAATATAGATGTGCTGTCAAACAATTAATCAGTTTATCGAGTTCTATTTGCGGATTTTGTATGATAGAAACAAGTGTTTTCTTTGTTTCACCAACAAACCGGAAGATGACTTGTTAATTTCAGGTCAACTTTATAAATCGTCAGTTCATTCATATCGGTGATATGTCAAGGTCAAAGTTATCAAGGCCGGGTCAAAGATTTTCACATCACAAAGCCATGATGTGCAATTTTTTTTAGAGCTGAACAGAGTGATACAGACAGTGTGACAATCGATAAATGTAGACATGTGATGTGAACATGAGTGGGACACTTATCATCCTTTAGTTTAGCTTGGAGTAGCAACACCCATACATGTATGTAATGTTTACAGTAAATCATAAAATTAACACAACAACAATGTGATAATTATAGGTTTACCATATTAACAGCTTACTTGAATAACATTGTCTTGTCAAAAGTTAAATAACAAAAAAACTGAACTCCTAGGAAAATTCAAAACGGGAAGTCATTTATCAAATGGCAAAATCAAAAACGCAAACACATCAAACGAATGGAAATCTACTGTCATATTCCTGACTTGGTACAGGCATTTCCTTATGTAGAAACTGGTGGATAAAACCTGGTTTTATAGGTAGCTGAACCTCTCAATGCCAGAATAAGGAAATTAAAGTGGAAGTTTAAAGAGAGATGGAAAATAATAAAAAAGAGGCGAAAGAGACCAAAGGGATAATCAAATCTGAAAACGAAGTGACAATTCCATAGCAAAAACACGAAAAACCACTTCAAGACAAACTACAGTATACAAAACACAACATAGAAAACTAAATACTGAGTAACACGAACTCCACAGTGGTGATCTCAGTTGCTCTGGAAGTGTAATCAGATCCTGTACCATATGTGGCACCCATGTGAAAACAGATATTCCAAAACGGTCAACGAACTCCGATAGCGTCCGTGAAATTGTCGAATGAGCGATTTCAAAAGAGAGGCGAAAAATATCAGAGGGAAATTCAAACTCATAAGTCAAAAATAAACTGACAACGCTATGGCTAAAAAGAAAAAGACCAACAGAAAAATAATAGTACACAAAACACAACATAGAAAACTTGGAGTGATCTCAATCAGGTGCTCCGGAAGGGTACGCAGATTGTACACCACTTAGAATTACTTGTTTAAAAGCTTCCTTGTGAGAATCAACCCTCTATGGCGGAAATCATGAAAGAAAAGCGAATCTCTTGAATATCGTATCTACTGGGAAACATATTATCTCCATTTGCAGGTGCTGCTGTAATGTTGCTACATAGAAATAAAAAGATAACAATTGGAAAGCTGAAATCATCTCTTTTGTTGTAAAGTTTTGTTCCCAACCGACCCACTTTGTCAATTTCTAGATGTAATCCAAGATATGAGGCGGACTAAACTAGTCTATGTTTCCTTTATTTCAATTCGATGTGATTGTTGCGTCGCTAAACGTTTAAAAAGTTAGTGAGAGGATATCAACTTTATAGCAAAACTTAAAGTTATAAGATAATGCTAGCTTCTTTTCATTGTTCCGATGAAGCGCCTGTATGAAATCGGCCTCATATGAGTAAAAGAACAAGTCGGCAAGTATAAGAGCACTGTTGGATCCTATGAGAACGCCGATTTTTTGTTGAAAAATACGTCTTCGTTGTAAAAAGGGTAGAAAGTCAAATGTTTAAATACTATTGCAAGAGGAAATAAACTTAGATTGTATATTCTCTAACAGATCTTTGGAATTTTGTAGTATCCACATCTTATTCTAGAGTGGCAGTTCCACAACAAACTTGAAGCCCGACTTTGATTGCTGATAGAATTGAAGTTGATTATTTAGAAAGATAGTTTGTGGTTTGCTTCGACGATTTAGCAATATAACGTTGTTTGGAAGATCGCTTGTATAATTTAGGTACCCCATACAGTTAAAGAAGATCCAGTTCTTCATCTTTGGTTGAAAATCCAAGGGAGCATAGAACAGACCTATGTTAATCAGGATTTCCTCCTTGGTAAGTGCCTTTGGGCTTTGTGTCGAGTTTCCAAGTGAATTGTTTACACCTAATTCCTTTATCGAGCAGTTTATGTAATGAGATTTATACATAAAACAGATGTTGTTGGAGACTTTATCTGAGGAGACAACAACATATTTATAAAGGAGGTAGGACAGGCAACATTCCTGTCTTTAAAATCAATGTAACGAGTGTTTTTATTGACCCATTCAGTTTTTTTATTCTAATTTGTATCAACGACCTCACAGATGGAAACCCATGTAAAGAATGTCGTCTACGTCATTTTTTTTCGTGTTAAGTCCAGTTAATTAACGACTGAATCCATCAGTATGCTGAAGAGATAATCAAACTCATATGTTAATGACAAGCTAAATACACCGGGGCAAAACAAATAGAAAAAAAGGCCAAAAGACAAACAAAAGTATACAAAACACAACATGGAAATTATGAATAAGCCACATGAGCCCAACCTTCAACAGGAGATTATCTCTGGTGTTGTGTAAGTGATAGGAGATCCGGCTAGACATTTGACATCAGTCGTTTTACTGTGAAGTGTATAATTTATATCCAATGATTAAGTATCACACAATAACGGATTATTGAAAGACTCTTATCATATCCTCAGACATCAACAAATTCGTAATCAATGGGTTATGTAACTTTTCTCAACCCGATATTTGACCGAATGTGAAATTTTTTAAATTGCAAATTGTTGCTCATGACTACGATAGATAAAACTGTTATCGATGTAAGCAACACGGACATTTAAAAACAAAAAAAATACCACGCTTTTAAAACTAAAGCAACAGCAACAGGGACACCCTTTAAAAAAAATATCTATCTTGTGCTTCGGAAGGATACTTGCTTGTTTACTGGATTTTTGGCTGACAATGAGGTATGGTTTGATTTATTAGAGGAAAAACGATACAGTGGCTTGTATATGCAAATTGACCATATAATAAAAACACGTTATTAAAGATATTTATTTTTTTTTACAAATATTAATCGTACAATAGATAATAACATGAAATACAAATTCGAATGTCGGTTTATAAAAATGAATTATATATACAAAATATTGTAAAAGGATACAACCAAGAGATTGCGCACTACTGTCATAAAATCTACCGTTTGCCGCAATATTTGCAAAGTTGCACTCTATGTTTTATATTTAACACATTTTGAAGAGTGTTGCATTCTAACAAGTGGTTATTCAGTATCCGTTAACAAATACAATACAATGTCCATATTTCCGCAGTACATTTATATATCAGTTTGTGAAGAAAGAACATAATACAAACAAAACCCAAATAATTCGATCATATATTATATACAATTATTACATTGGTAGCATTGAATTACATTGATTTCCCAGTCAAATAAAAACCGATAATTTCACATGTGAAATAAACGTGGTTATTTCACTCTCTGACGTCATACAACAATAGGCGTTGTCAAGACGTCGATAACGTCGGATCAAAACAAATTGTGAATGCGTAGAAAAAAGATATAGTTCCTTACATTTTCTACATTAATTTCATTAAAAAAAGCCATTTGCCAATGTAATAAAAAGAATAACTAATCAAAGAATTCAAATATCGAAAAATATTCAACTCGTGACCGAACAACACTGATAATTAACTCATGCGCTACGCGCATTCGTGAATTAATGTGTTGTTCGGTCACTCGTTGAATATTTTTCTCTATTTGAATTCTTCGATTAGTTATTCTATAAATCTTTCATTCCACCACTATTCCACATACACAATTAATCATAAACTTTCTTACATACATATTTTGTTTCTTAATGTCGTCTTTTCGACAAAAATTGCGTTTAACATCATTTTATTTTGCTTACAGTTTTACCGTTTTACAATATGATTGTTCTCAAAATAAATTTGCTTTATACATCGGAATTATGAAAAATCAAGAATGAAAATTGTTAGAGCATTCTAGCTGTTGAAGCCAAATAAATTGGCAGAAAAAAGATGTCAGTTGTTTTTGTTTTTGTTTATTTTTTGTTTTTATTGTTTTGTTAAATAATGTCATGAATGTATGAATATAAATGAGTATAAAAGTTACATTTATGCAAGCTTGATGTCCTAATTGTCTGTCATTGTGTAATCAATAGTTGTTATTGTTAAAGAATTTTCAACTTAGCCGACTCTTAGATGTTTTTCAGTGTATGAGTAAACGGCCATGTTCAGACATTACTAAAATTCTAGAAATAATCTTAATTACATTATTTTCATTTTAAAAGTATATCAAACTATTTTTCACCTCTTTAGGACCATCATAAAACGAATATACACATATAATAACTTGATTGTTATGACGATCAACAATAAACAATTATCAACATACAACACTGGAGGTTTTCTCTCATGTACATTATAAATGCACTAGATCTGACTGTCCTATTAATCAAACTGTTTATTTTAAATTAAATACCATGTCCTTTGTTACAAATGAGAGCAATCATTTTTTGTTTTGCATTTAACACAAATAACTGGAGAAAAAGTAATGCATGAATAAAAGTTTATGAATTTGAAACAAAAATGCCTATCTTAATCTTGATAATGTATTAGACGTGGGTAATTTTTCTGGAAACAATTGTTATTCAGAAGACTGAAAATTGGTTACAGTTAATGGTAATGTTAAGAATGAGTAAGACATGTGATAAATGTTTAAACGATTTGAAATGAAGAAATGGTTTGATTAAAACAGAAAAAAATTACGTGTTTTTTCTCCATCAATGGTTGAAAAGAACATTAGTCATATATTTTAGATGATTAGTATGAAATTATTTAACGTTCTTTGTAGGTTTTTATATACTGTTGTTTGTCTTTTTGTCGTTTTTCATTTTTTGCGATGGTTTTATCTGTTCTTTCTCTACTTTTGCATTTTGATTGTCTTCCGCTTTTTTTTTCAAAGATCTCATGTAACTGCTGCAGATATGCATTTTGAAAATTAGTGTCTCTTCAGCAATGATGTATGCCAAACCATAAACCTAATATTCTGATATAAAGGAACAAAGGTATAGCCAAACTTAGCAATTCATGGCTTTGCATAAAGATTCCTTAATTTCCAATGATCTTTATCAGTTTTATCACTGCCAATTTCATCAAATGAATAATTATATTTTCAGGACAGAACCGAGTTACCTTGCTTATGGTCATCAGGTCTACATGAAACAACAGTCCAAGAGGTATCACCCTATTCTCTTTATCTTCTTTTCTTCTAACTCTTCTTTCTATTTGGATTCTTATCATTACATTTATCATTATTTTTATATGAATATTATTATTATTATTATTTTGAAATACTACCAGTTACAATTTTAGATTAAAAAAAGTTTTTTTTTAAGTCCAATTGACTATGGAAAAAAATATCAAGAAATAAAAATGAAAATGTATATAATCCGTTCAATTTAAAAAAAAAAAACTAATAGAATTGTAACATAAACAACACTAAAAATAAGGAAAGGAGCAAAACACTACTAATACAGTGCATATCTTGTTTCACTTGATGTTTAACAAATAAGGACACTTGCGCTTTCGTTGCTTGATGATGGTGAAATGATTTTTACAGCAATGACATGAAACTCATATTTCAATAATATACAATATATGTTTAAACTGATATCGTCATGAAAATTTAATGAGGTATCACTGTATATGCTTAATTGAATTGGTTCTTGATCATTTGACTTTATATGATGTCTCATGAAATGCACATTTTGTCAAATGCGTTTACTATTATAAGCAACCATCCCTGACATCCCTTTAATGTCAATAGTATATACATGTACTTTTTCATAAGACATTATAACGGTCGCCACCTTTTGATTCAGGGAAACCATTTTTTTTTTATCAGTAGATGTTATATTTCAAAACAAGCATTAGTGTCAATTCGCCGTTTCAGAATCTAATGCATTCTGGGTAATTTAATTGTTCGTACCCAAAAATGAAAACGACGTCACGTCATTGGTTGAAGTTTAATTATTTGGGACGTTTTTAGCTAATCATAGCGTTTTGTTGTACGATTTTGAAAATATTACCCAGAATGCATTATATTCTGAAACGGTGAATTGTGCTTTTTCTATTATTTTTCGAATTCATTCTAATTCTTCATATACTGGAATTGTTATTCATGCATATATATGAATAAACCTTTCAAGCAATGCTTTCTTAATACTGAATCGTCGTTGAACCTCGTAGACCTTGTCTCATATAATATGTCATATACTTAAAAAGCTGTGACCAGGCAACTTGTACCTCTTCTGACCATATGTCCTCTAAATGCGGCTGTATAGCGTACACAAATTGTTGTCCTACCATCTAGATAAAACATCATAACAAAAATTAATGATAGTGTATAATGCTTGCTGCGGTAACACACAAGTTTATGTATATAATAAAGCAAACAAAAAACCTAAAATGTGTCTTGATAATACTAGACAATCTTATCAATACTAATACTTGTAAAATAAACAAAAAACTCTCTCCTTTGAAGAGATCAAACGGGCAATTTTTCTAAACAAAAAACGATCAAACATAAGTCTAGCTTTTCTCATGATTGATTAAACTGGGTATATAGGTAAGACTCAGAACGACGACCGGTCTCTAATCGACGTCCAAATGTGACGTCACAATGAAATAAAATTCCAAATCGACGGTCAATTTTATGCCCTTCTAATCGACGTCTTTTTTGTTGTTCTCAAATCGACGTCCAAAATTTGGCTTCTCTAATCGAACTCCTTTTTACAGTCTCGCCGTAATGACATCACAACTTTATTTAAAGAAAACAACTGTCATATTCCTGATTTGATAAAGGCATTTCCCGAATACAAATGGTTGGCTGAACCTTAAACTCAAAAACTTGTTAAAAAAGATCGTGTCCAAATAATAATACTTTCAACAATTGACTGTCGATTGTTTGAGACTGTATATTGCCCCTTGATGTCTTTTGCTTATCTTTATATTTGGGCTGATGTCTCATTGTCTTATATTCACATGTAAATTATTTAACGTCACGGTACCCAAATTGCACCGAGTACCCAAATTGCTCCTATTTAATGTTATAGCAGAGGAAATCTTACAAGTTTTCATAGAGATTAAACAATTTGTATTTTTATGATTTGACACTATGCACGTCTTTTAACATATATAAATATATTTAAATATACACACAAAAGTTCACAGTATATATAAACAGATGAAGTGTTCACTGGAAAAAGTAAAATGTACGGAAACGTCGCCATGCGACGTCCACAAAAAGTATCCTTTTAAAAATTAGCAAATAAAATATGTTACAAGCATTCATTTCATAAAAAATGAATAGTAAGCATGGACTAATGTCAAATTGTTCTAAATATTTAAAGAAATAAAACAAAATATCTGTTATTCGACTTTTAAGGATGTGAATTTAAGCATGGATGCAATTTGTGTACTCCTCATTACAGAACCATGGATCGTTTGGAAGTCTGTTCAAATCCATTTTTCTATGATTCAATATGGATTCAAAATTAAATTGGTGGAACTATATAGTAAATAATGATACATCTACAAAATAAACACAGAATTGAAACTTTTGTCTAGATCATAAATAAACGTAGGTGAAAAAACTGTCAAAATATGTGCAATTTGGGTACCCTCACGTTATATGAATATGAAAGGAATAGGACAACGTAGATCGAGTGGATTAACTTTTTTCACCAATATATTAATATGCATGTACATGTAATATAATGTCGGTGTTTGTTTTATTGTCATATACTGATGTTTATTCTTTTATGTTTATTTAGTTCATTGTTTTAGACGGGATGTTGTCTACTTTGTTGTTCCTTCTTATATACGTCAACTAAGTTTTTATGATTTGTAAAGTATATAAAGATATGTGAAAATAATTAGTTTCTTTAAGCATCTTTACCTAAAGATTAAACGAAAAAGATAATATAAAAAAAGACCAAACTCAGAAAAATAATCAAATGATATCCATATATGACATCGATGAAAGGAGACTCCAATCGATCGGACGTCGTTTTGTATCAGCCGGACATTATTCAATATTATGGTAAATGATCTCCTCACATGTATTAATAATTGTTCTATTTCCCAATTTGCAGACGACAGTGCAATATGGTTGTGTGGTCACAATATTGGTTTTATTTAAAGGAATATACAGAAACATCTTGACAATATAAAACCATGGTGTAATAAATGGGGATTTCTCATTTCCCCCTCTAAAACTATAGCCATTGTGTTCAGTAGAAAGAAAAAGTCTGAGAAGTTATTATTAAAGTTGAGTAACAGTTTATTAGAAGTCGTTAATGAAGTGAAATTTTTAGAGATAATTATTTATAGTAAATTGGCTTGATTTAAACATATGAAATATATAGAGACAAAATGCAGTTAAGTCTTAATTTGTATGAAACTTCTAACTGGTACTCAGTAGGGAGCAAATAGTCATTCTCTTAGAAACATATATATTGCACTAATAAGATCTAAAATAGACTACGGATGTGAAGTATATAACTCCGCCTTACATTCCGTAAAGAAAACTCTGGACAGCGTGCATCGTCAAGCACTTCGAATTTGCACAGGTGCATATAAAAATGTAGCCACTAGTGGACTGCAAGTAGAAACGGGTGACCCACCCTACGAAGAACGTAGGAAGTGTTTAATAACAAAATCTTTCTTGAATATATCTATTCATGATAATAATCATCCAACTAAGGAAAGTTTAGCCAAAACAGCAACCTTTCTTTGCTACTCCAAGGAAATTAAACAGACTAGATAACCGTATTTTATTGTTTCAAAAGATAAGATTAATCAAAATGATATAGACATTAAACAAAATCTCAAATCGACGTCCAATATTTGATGTAATGACGTCACAACTTTATTTAAGAAAATAACTGTCATATTTCTGATTTGATAAAGGCATTTTTACGAATACAAATGATTGGCTGAACCTTAAACTCAAAAACTTGTTAAAAACAGATCTTGTCCAAATAATAATACTGTTCAACAATTGACTGTCGATTGTTTGAGACTGTATATTGCCCCTAGATGTCTTTCGCTTAGCTTTATATTTGGGCTGCTGTCTCATTGTCTTATATTCACATGTCAATTATTTATATGAATATGAAAGGAATAGGACAACGTAGATCGAGTGGATTAACTTTTTTCACCAATATACTAATATGCATGTACATGTAATATGATGACGGTGGTTGTCTTATTGTCATTTACTGATGTTTATTCTTTTATGTTTATTTAGTTGATTGTTTTAGACGGGATGTTGTCTACTTTGTTGTTCCTTCTTATATACGTCAACTAAGTTTTTATGATTTGTAAAGTATATAAAGATATGTGAAAATAGTTAGTTTCTTTAAGCATCTTTAACCAAAGATTAAACGAAAAAGATAATATAAAAAAAGACCAAACTCAGAATAAATAATCAAATGATATCCATATATGACATCGATGAAAGGACACTCCAATCGATCGGACGTCGTTTTGGAAATACATAACGTCACATCGGACGTCGATTAGGAAGTAAAAATATATGACAATGATTTGGGAACGTGACTTTAAATTGGACGTCGATTTGAGAACGGACGTCGATTAGAGACCGGACGTCGATCTGAGTCTAACGTATATTTCTACTTACACCGTTCTCCGATCTTCAACAGGTCATTTTAAGACGGAACAAAGTTCCCAAAACATTCTTACAAATAATTTCGATTGTTAATGATTTCAGCGGTATTGTAATCAAGGCCGTTTCTTTGGACTACTGTGTAAGCAAATAAATAATTCCCCATGCTATTTGCCTCTTACATATTTTGAACGAGATATTACTCCTCATTTTGTTGTACCATGATTCATGTATATTTTGGAATTTTTGTTGAAATTAACCAAGCACTCTCTAGAATGGATTTGATGAAAATCAAAACAAAAAGTCAAAAGAAACATTTAAAAGCTCTAAGTTGAGATACATATATCACACAAAGTGCAAGCTGCAGGTTTAAAATAATTCAAAACATTTAGGTGACAAAATATGATATTTCTTTAACTCATACATTTTTTATTTACGCCAATATGTCATTAAATGCAATTGGCTATCCTGCGTTGATCATGTCTTTCTTAGCATAAAGTACTGCTGAAAAAACCCTCTTAAATTATCGAAACCTATCATTTTGTATTTACCTTAACATCTCTGTGTAAATAAGATATAGACATTCTTGCTGACGCCCTCATAGTTGAATCTAATACTTACAATATGTATGACTGTATTAAATGATCATAGTTTTACCGCACATTTTATGCTTATCTTGTCGCGTTTGATCATATCAAGGGATTTGAACTCATAAACCGATATTCCAATCGAAAATATTAGGGATACAAGAAAGGCATTCTAATGAGTATTTGTCTTTGTTGTTTTGATTTATCATCAGGAATATCGTATCGGGATATATTTTAGGCTATTTATCGATAGTATGGTAAAAAAAGTTTTTGACAAAAATACCAAACTCCAAAGTAAATTAGAAAAAAGGGTGAAGTCCATAAAACCTTCAAAACAATCGAACGCTCGACTATATCAGTCATATCACTGAATTAAAACGGGCATGTTCCGAAGAAGAAAATGGTGAGTTAAACCCGGTTTTATAGCTAGTGAAACCTCCAATCTGGATGACAGTTGTTTATAGTTCAAATGTTATTGAGTTCATATCGAAATAAGTGGATTCGTGTCTTTCTCTATGACATACACTAATCATCTCCTTTTAATAGTTAAAAACAACGAAAGTATTTATATCAAGCATTACATCGACACTGTTACATTATATCATTTTTTTCAATGAATGTCTGATGATCTGAAGACAGGTGCTTCGTCGAATTTAAGTACATGATTCCATCAAAACCTGCAGTTTAATCTTCTTTTCAGATAGCAGGTGTTTTCGTTATTGTTTTAATTATTATGATAAAGTAGTGTATATTGAAAGAAACAGTTTAAACATTCCGAATTGAATATTCGTGGAGGTAGAAATAATTCGGGCTATACTTTACATCAATCACAGATAAATCTGTAATTGTCTTAAATTCCTAATTTTAGAAAACCCTGTAACAGGATTTTTAATATAACAAACTGAAAAAAAAATGAAATATGCTAAACGTATAAGATCATCCCAAGACAACTGCTCTGGAAAATAATAGCGTTTACTAAGGCAGTTTGACAATCAATGTTGCAACCGTTTGTATTCGGTTATGCATAACAATAAGTCAATGCACATGAAATGGTCTATACGTATGGATATATTCATTGGCAAGTTGAGAGATATTTATCAATCCACTCCATACTAGTTTTAAGAAAAAAGATAGGGTACCATGAGCGTTACTAATGGAGCAGGAATAGGTGACTCTTCGTAGCTTTGAGTTTTCTGTCGGTTTTTTTGTGGTTTTACATGTTGCTCAATCTTTAGTTATCTCAAATAAAATGGGGCTACTCTTTGAATCTTCTTGTTTAATTATTACGTCTAACACAAAAGTTGAGTTTGCAAATTCAATATAGTTTTGACTTGATATAATATATATGATACTGTGTTTTTCCTATCATATTTAAGCATTATAACTAAACTCTATTCTGTAATGAGTTAAGTTCATTTGCTACGAAAATTATACATCGCTTCATGACATCTGACGAGTAGATGTATATTTTATTGAGTGAGGCGTAAATTGGGTTTTAAATTTGGATATTCCTTCAGTTCCTGCTTGTTTAAACTTCTGCAGAGGTTTCATATTTGACGTTATTACTCATTACAATAAACAACTGCCAAATGTTGTTTCGAATTACACAATATGCTTTTATACATCTGTTTGAACGAAGAAATTGTATTTATTTATCTGCATAATCTGGTTTTACTTAGATTACATACCGTAACCATATACTAATGAACCTACCTCTATAAATTCTTCGTTTACATTGTAATTAAGGTGTCGTTGGCCTAGATTGGTCATTAATTCTTTAAATTTATCAGGTTTGTCTAAACGTGATATGCATTTATCGACAGTTCCCATCACACGTAAAGCATGTGATCGTAATATTGCACTTTGTTCCATATCTTTCTTGCTGAGCTGTTGAAAAGGAAGGAATGCATCTTGTACTTCTGGGTGGCTATCAAATAATCTGTTAAGGAGAATCAACAAACTTTTAATAATATATGAAATGATTTATACATACAAAATCTAGCATGATACTCAATTACTATCGTTCTAAATAGCGAAGTTGTTTATAGTTCACTATACGGTTTGGGATTTGCCCATTGTTGACGGCCGTACAGTTTCCTTAAGTTGTTAAATTTCTCAGCCGTACAGATAAGTCTCTGGTGAAAAGATGTATCATTGGCATTTATACCACATCTTCAGACTGTTATATTTGTGGCAATGCTTAAGTTTTCCAATTAGTGAACCTTTAATTGGCGGGAAGCAACATTATATCATAGATATCACCTGTTTCTGTAGAAATGATGTCGACTTTAGTGACTCCTTTGAAAGAGCACAAATAATTAGTCTGTCACATAAATGAAGTTCAAGAGTATATATAGTTTATTCAATCTAAACTTACTAATTAGCAACTCCTCTTCAAAAATTTTACTGAAGAAATAATGACTTATTGATATTTATCCGGTAAGTACAATGTATGCCAAGCAATATCGTACATTACGTATTCTTTTACAAAATTTTTCAACATTTTACAATCAAATGATGTAGCTCACATTTCTCTCCATGTTGGCAACACTATATTAACGTTTTAAGCGCCAATTCCTTATAAGAATCAAATTTATAACTTTCAGAGCGACTCTTTGTTAACTTGTATTTTGAAGTAAATACACTCCCTTTCTGGAGATCAAACAATCGGAGACTGGAAAACCTTAAAAAGTAAAAAAACAAAAATGCCGAACTCCAAGGAAAATTCAAATCGGAAAGTTCATTAGAAAATGGAAAAATCAAAAACTCAAACACATCAAACGAATAGAAATCAACTGTCATATTCCTGACTTGGTACAGGTATTTCCTTATGTAGAAAATTGTGGATTAAACCTCGTTTTATATCTAGCTAAAACTCTCACTTGTATGACAGTCGCATACAATTCCATTATATTGACAACAATTTGTGAACAAAACAAACAGACATAATAGGTAAAAATGTCAAAAATAGGGTTACAGCAGTCAACATTGTGTTATAATCTAGATCACTATAAAAACAAACAAATATGTCAACAAAGAAAAATAAAATAACATATAGACATAGCACATAAACAAAAATGAAAGACAAGAATATAAAAAAATGACCACACAACAACACATTGGCGGGATGTATAAGTACCGAGCCACACCAAAAGGATATTATCAAAATGGACTAAACAGTAAAGGCTAATAATTTACAAAGACAAATAAAATAACACTTCAACACGTAATTAATATGATAAGCAACGTCAGTACCTAGAATCTATACTTCAAGACCATCATGTAGTATTTGTGAAGTTGATACGGAATATTTATCAAAAAGGTCTTGGTATCTTCCGTTGAACTTTTTTAGAAAAGGACGAGACGTTCTTTGACAGAACCTTGGTTTGTCAACTTTCTGCTCAGACACTGGTGACGTTTTATAAAAACTGGGTAGCAGCTGCAAGCTCTTGAATACCGAATGAGTTGGGAAATGTATATTCCATATGCAGGTGAAGTTGGTATATTGCTACCAAGGTGGGGGAAATTGATAATTTCAAAATACACGTTTTAAATAGTATTATTTTGTTACATCATACATTTGGGATTTTTGTAATTTTCTCAATACTTCAATGCATGATTAGCTCATAGATTGGGTTGAAATCACAGCTGAAGGGTAGATAAATTACCAAGACACATTTGTTCTAAATAGGAAGGGTAAAAATATCTTACCAATAGTGGAGATTCAAACAATGAGGCGAAATATACCACAGGGATAATCAAACACACGAGTCGAAAACGAACTGACCATATTAATGCCATCGCAAAAAAAGCAAAACGACCAAACGATATACAATAGTATACAAAACACAACATAGAAAACTAAAGACTGAGCACCGTGAACTTCTTCAAAAACCGGTGTGATCTCAGGTGCTCCGGAAAGGTAAGTAGATTCTGCTCCACATGTGATATCCGTCGTGTTGCTCATGTACAATTACAAACCCTGTGATAAGTTCAATTTGCTAAGACACATTCGAGGAACAGATGTTCCATAACGGTCAACCAACTAGTGAGGACACGAATAGTAAGGTTCCATGTAATCATTAACCCTCTTTCTTAAAAGTGAGAGGTTTAGCTAGCTATAAAACCAGGTTTAATCCACCATTTTCTACATAAGGATATACCTGTTTCAAGTCAGAAATATGACAGTTGTTTTTTCTTTGGTTTGATGTGTTTGAGCTTTTGATTTTGCCATTTGATAAAGGACTTTCCGTTTTGAATTTTCCTTGGTGTTCGGTATTTTTGTTATTTTACTTTTCACATGAAATTTTGATAGGAAATGTAAGCTTTTAAATATTGTATCAACTGGGAGATATATACTTCATATGCAGGCTCTGGTGGGATGTTGCTACATTAAAGCAATATTTTGTTCTCTTACTTTCCTTTCTCTACAAAGATGATTAAGCTATATTATGAATCAATTTGGTGTGTGGACAGACAAACGTTAAGCACTGATAAAAAACTTAGGAGAACCTGCAATTCTTGTAAATTAGTTATAGCGGGATATAGATTATACATTGATCTTCAAATGTGGACATAGATCACTATAATATTCAAATGAAGTTTTTAATCCATGTTCATGGTTCATTTACTGTTTTGACAAATTTATTCTGTAGCAATTACTACTGCTCTGTTAAGTCTGACATTATCAGAGTAATACCATTAGTATCAATAAATTGGTAGTCTTCACGCATTTTGCTTGTTTAAAACAATATGTTCATTCTTCTGGAAGATTTTTATTAGTTGTTAATACACTCAATGCATTTATTGACTGTGTTTGTTGTTTGATGTTCAATTACCGTCAAATGACAAACATTATGAGCGATCTAACAAAATTAGAGAAAGCTTGCCCCTATTAAGACTACAGGGTTTATACATGCGTTCATTTTGCGACAGTTTGTATCATTGTTGTTTGTTCGATGTTTGTAAGAATACATGTATTTTCTAAAATCAGTCCGCGATATGATTAAAGCGTAAAGATCAAATGGCAATCTAATCTGGATCGGCTTGATCATTCCTTGAAATCTAGATTAAAAGAATAAATGTTTCAAAGAAATTAATCAAAGAAAAACAAATTATCTTGTAAATAAAAACACTTTAATATTAGAAAATCTCCAAAAGTATTGTAAAAATCAGAATATATTGCATAGAGTACTTATTCTGAAGTGAAACACTTTAAAATCATAATGTTTTACTTCAATAAAATAAAAAGTTTAGTTTGTCTACAATTCTATAAAGAAGAAGCGAAAATTACAAAGGGATATTTAAACTCATAAAGGGCAAACAAACTGACAATGTCATGACCAAACGACAAACAACAGAAAACAAACCACAACATAGAACACTAAAAACTGAGCAACACAGGCCACAAATAAAACCGGGAGTGATCCGGTAGGGTTAGCATATCCTGCTCTAATAGTTGCGCACCCGTTGTGTTTTTAATTGTTATAAATATAAATTAAAACTGTTTTAGCCTTATTAAATTCTTTATAATTATCCAATATTGAGCCCTAAAGAGAGATAGAACTACACAACTATGCAACGAACAAAAAAGAAAAACTGTGTGGACAGTGATCAAGACATCCATTATCAGCCTGTTGATATTATTCTCTAATCTTTTAAATCAAACGGCCAACACGATTCGCGTATTGTATTCCTTTTATTTAAAGACGCCCACTTGTGTACCTCTATTATTGATATCTTAAAAATGGCGATAATCGTAATTAGCGTCATGAGTTGAACATATCATCACTTCTAGAGAACCTTTATATAATTACTCTCGAAGTCTGAATATGTTAACCGTACTAGATAAACCATAACATTATTACAATCAAAGCGTGAATATGACAGTTTGCATCACTATCGTCTAGAATCTAGAATGTGTAATCTTGGTCGAAAAACTATGTTTTGATTATCTCTTTGCAATCTAAGTTGAAATCAAAATAGGTTTCAACGAAATCGGTCAACGGAGAACAAATTATCTTACAAATGAAATTGCTTTGAAAAATCTCCAAAATTATTTGTAATCAGAACATCACATAGAGTGAATTTCTGTGAAGTCAATAATATTAAAGGCACCATGTTTTACTTCAATGAAAATTCAATGAAATTTTTCAGTCGTTCACAATCCTATAATCTATATTGTTTATAAATATATTTTTTTTCAGTCTTATTAAATTCTTTAAAATTATCAAATATTGAACCCTAAAGAAAGATAGAACTTCATAAATATACCACGAACACCAAACAACTGTGTGAACACTGACAAAGACGTCCATCATCAACAAATCACTACAGACTAAGTAGATGTTCATGTGTGATGAACTTTGATAATCAGATTTTTCATCATTAACGTTAACGCAATATGTTTATTTGTTCACAAACATACCAGATGATTCACATGACGACTTGGCTAAGACAATATCATATAATCAAAAATTATAAAAACCTTCTAGAATTGTCATCATTTAAGATAACACACAGGGTAATGTTGCAGATTAAAAAATACAGTCATAATTTTTATGTAATCGTGTCTATTTTCACAATCGACCACGATCTAAATTACATTAGTTTAAAAACATATAATTCTAGTAATTGTGCTTAAATAGATCTTAGTCATTTTTGCCTACAATTGAAGATCATTATATGTCAAGCGGAAGCAGAAGTGATAACAGATTAATGTCAATAGTGTATATAAACGGTATTTAATAATTGCGGCATTATTCGAATCCACTGTTTTTTGGAGTTTTGGTGGGGCCCCGAAAAGGAGTCTCACATAAAGTGATGTTTAGTTGTACACGTTTTACTACAAAAGGCATGAAATATCGGTTTATCATATCGAGAAAAATTACAGTTCTATGTTTTAATGCAATGTCAACTTATCTTTTATTTTATATTAGC